AAATTATAAAACAAAAAAAAAAAAGTTATAATAAAAATAAATAGAAAGTAGAAAATGAGTGAAAGAAAATTGAAGTTCCTACTTAAATATGTCTGACGCCGGCATTTAGCTTAATATGGGCGCTATAGGCCGGAAGTGGTGTAGCATACACACCGCATTAACATACACACACACACACACGAGCGCGCACGCACACACTTGTATACCAACGAGTGTCTGAAAATAAGGTCGTCAAATGCTGGCGGCTAAATACCACAGAAATAATATAGGCAGCACCAGCAGTAGCAGCAACGGCAGCCAAAGAAAGAAATATATTATAGAAATAAGAAGAAAAGTGACGATATTAGCATACAAGTCGATTATTACACTACCACAAGCGACGAGAAAGCAGCAATCAGTCGTTCAAAGAAACAAAAACAGTAAGAAAAAGAAAATTTAAAGCACATTCCGTAGAGTGGTGGCGCGGCGCTGCAGTCTGTCGAAGCAGCAGCTGACAGCAATATTTTTCTTCCGTCATTTCAACTTTTTGACTGTTGTGCTTCCTTCCTGCATACTTTAAAGCAGCGCACATATTTTCATGCACACATATGTATATGTATGTAGGTATACATACAAACATATTGTACATACATATATACATACAAATAAATATCTATAGTTGCATGCGAGGCGACAACATCGAAGTAGCTCGTAAATACAAACGCTCTAAGGTCACGGAAATGAGGTCACTTTTGCCTTTACTTAAATTTCACAGGTTTCGATTTCTATAGTTATACACACATACACTAAATAACACTATAAAAAATTCTCATTTTTATAACTTCTCTTATTTTATTTCTTCGTATAAATTTCTACAAAGGCGAGTATAAAATTAAAATAATAAAAGTAAGAAAGTTGAGCTTTGAAAGTCATTTTTCTTCCAGTCAGCATTGTTTATTTGAGAATGACAGGTGCCGGCGAGTAGTGTCAAAGTCGCCTGCCAGTTATGCACATGCATATGTGTGCACAAGTGTGACGATGTCAACAGAAAATGTCTTAAATTTAATTTGCCATGAAAAATTGTTCTTCACAAAGTTATCGATATCGTAAACAAATATATGCAAGCATGTTTGTGTTAATGCAGTGTAGGATGCAATTTATTAGGCTACAAAATTTAGCTGCAATGTAGAGTTTTTCACATGAAAATTATTTATATTAAAGTGCTATTAACTTTGATGAAAGTTGAATTTGAACTTAGAAAAAGTTTTCTTTTGTATGCACAGTGTTTCTAATAATAATATAATTTGATTTTAAGTTGAGTTTCTACGGCAACTTTTACCAGAGGCTTTCGCTACACAGCACTTTGATATCGGTGCTTATCGCCAAATATTCAGCAAACTACACATTTCACTTTTTCATCTTAAAGCGCTAGTGAAAATAAATGACGTAGTTCGACGTAGTTTTAATTCTAATTAAAATTTCTCAATTTTTTTCCATCAAACTAACACTTTCCATAAAAAAAAATAGACAAAAAACAAAACAAATGTCAAGAAGTTTTAATTATCGATATTTCAAAATGCAGCTCTGTTTAACTTTATATTAGTCAAATTGTTTTATTTCAATTTTTCGTTTATTTAAAAATATAATCCATTTTCGTTAGCTTTATTCTTTATTCACACATATTAACTATGCATGCATATACATACATAACTTTTGCATATGCCACTCTTCATCACACGTCTGCAGAACTTCATGCGTAAGCCATTCGCTAAATCAAAACAAATATGTCCGGCTTTTAAATGTCAAAATGTCAAACGATGACGCAAACACTGCACAATGACGCCATAGAGCAAGCACGCATACACGCACACTCCCATTTTTTTTCTGCATAATAGTAATGCCAAAAGTCAATCAAAATATAGCCACTACCTTCCGCATGCAAAATTAAATCGCTATAGAAAGCAAAAGAAAAAAAAGAAAATCAACATCAAAGTCATAAATGTAAACAAAAATAGCCAAACACGTAAAGGGAATTGTGCTGCGACTCAGCACGAACTGCTATGTCATGACGTGTGAAGTTGGTTGTGGTGGCGGTGAGATGCAGGGTGTTTGGTGTTTCGTGGTTTTTGATGATGGTAGATAAAGTAACAAAACAAAAAAGTATACATATACTCGACTTGCGGCAATTGGTTAACCAAAACCATAAGCAAAAACACAGCATTTAAAAAGAGAAATCAAACTGCAATTACAAGAACACTTGAATAAACGCAACTTTTTCTGTTTTCATTTAGCAACAAAAAAAAATGGTTAATTTAGTGTAGAAATGGAAATGCTATACAATTGCATCCACACGCAACATTTTAGTACACCCAAAGGTTAAAGTAATTTGCAAAAACAAACACTTAAGTGACGGCAATAAATGTACGTCATAAATTCTATGAAAGGATACAAAGGTGATTTCACCACGAAGTGTTTGTATGTTATGAAAATGTCACTATTACAACAACATATATGCATATAAACGTACTATATAGTACATGCAAGCAACAAACATACATATGTATTCCCAATAGTGGCAGTAAGAAGAAAGTAAATTTGCATACGACTATGTTTGTAATGTCATTTCTCATTGTAGGGAATGAAATGCTTGTGTTGAATTTGTGTTTTTGGTAACGGAAGTACATTCGTAGTTGTATTTGGCACTGCATGTGGTAGTGTTATGGCTTTTCATAAGCCAAAAATAGCAAACACTTTGAAGTGATTGTGAAATTGTTTAATGGAAAATACCATTTTCATGACAGTACATATTTATACATATATTGCATACCACATGCATATACAGTTAACCGATCGATTTCAAATGGGATTTCGCCAATTTCCGACTAATACACAAGAAGCCTTAAAGAATAGTATTGGGGATATAAAAATAGTTAAATTTATTTAAGCATATATTTGGGAGTTTTTGCTTTTCATACTTATGTTATATTTTTTTATATTTCTTTTTTATATATTTTTTTTTTTCATTTCTTTTTTATATTTTTTAAGAAAATTATTTTTTTACTCTTTATTTTACTATAAATTTTTTAAATTATATTTTTATACTTTTTTATATGTATTTTAATTTTATAATTTTATACTTTTACATTTTTTATATTCTAATACTTTTTAATTTTTATATTTTTTTTATTTATTTTTTTATATTTTTGATATTTCTAAATTTTTAGCTTTTATATTTTTTATCTTTTTATTTTCTTTCTTTAATCTGTTTTGTTTTTATACATTTTATTACATATTTTATTTTTTTTTATAAATTTTAATATTTTTTAGATATATATATTTTTAATTTTCTATATTTTTTATATTTTCTATATTTTTTATATTTTCTATATTTGTGGTTTTTTTTATTTTTTTATCTTTTACATTGTCATATTTTTATATTTTTTTGTTTTGATATTTTTTATACTATTAATTTTTTTAGTATTTTGTAACATTTTTAGAATAACTTATTTTTTGTGTTAGATATTTTTTTATTATTATTATTTTGTATTATATATTTTTTTTTTTTTTTTTATAATTTATTTTTCACCATTTTTTTATTTAATATTTATTTTATTATAGTTAAAATTTATTTTACTGAAATGACGAATCTACTGCCAATTCTGTTTATTAAAATCGTATTGCAAAAAATCAATTACCATGAAGATTCGTTGAAATGGTACGGTAAATATAAAAGTATCGATAATCGATAAATTGTTTGAGCGAACAACAGGGTGACTATACGCAAGGAAGGTATTATATTTTGTTTCTTGTTGGTTAGTTTAAAAATAATAATAATAACAATAATTTACACCAAAAAATTAAATTTTTTATTATTTTATAAATAAATGTAATAAATTGTATTATTATTTATTCGAAAAGTCTAAATTATCGATTTCTAATCACCTCCCTTCACTTAAGGCAATTCAGAAATTGTTTTATAATTACTTATTTTCCATACCACAAAATTTCAAATACCTTTCAAATATAAATAAATATAATTAAGTGCCACCAAAAATTTTTAAATAGTTTCTGTACTTTTAGGTGCGTCAGAGTTCCGGCTCAGCGTTATTAAGCAGCAATAAACACGATTGCAAATCTATTGAAAAATTCTACATATTTGTTTATACTCAGCTATAAATAAAAAATATTCACAACACGCCGGTAAAACTGGTTGGACAAGCGACGACGAGTAAATTCACAGCTATGCAAATAGCAAAATCTATAGAAATGAATAGAGGATGCGGTGAACGAAAAATGAATATCAACCGGCGGGTGGTACGTGCTAAAGTATACGATAGACTTGTGATAAAATACTAGAGAAGAGTATTTGCTTTGAATGCTTACGCATTTTGCCTTTCAAGTGGACAAGTTAACTCGTTAAGTGCACCAACATACATACATATACATAGGTGGTGATCTACGAGCAATTCCAGACACAACGTTGCTGTTGTTTGAGCGAAATTGTCATTTTTACATTAATTTAGTCGAACACGCATATGTACATATATATAAGTATGTATGTAAATATAGTTGAAGTTAAGACTTAATTGGTGCCATATTGTCTTCGAATGACAACTACCCAGTAGAGTAGTATTAACAGATGGACGGCAAGTGACGAAAAACCAGCAAACCCCAAACAATGATAAATAAAACTTGACGTTGATGGTGATGACAAAAACTAGTCGCCGTTGGCAATAATTTCGTACGTTGACGATATGAAATATGGTGGTAAGTGCGATAACAGCAATGAAGCATTAGTGATGGTGTCGATGATGAGCGGGTAACTAACCTAAAAAGAACAGCAACAAAAAATGCAAAGCGCACGTTTATTATTTGGCTATTCCTTAGAGAAAAAACAAACGCCATAAACTGAAAACAAAATAAAACCAATCGACTCGCAAGAAAAGAATAAAAAATAATAAAATAAATAGAAAATAAATAAATAAAAAGTAAAACTAAGCAAAAAGTGTAATAAATGAGAAACAGCTGAACGTACAACTGAATAACTAAAAATGTCATGTGAGATATTCAATGCGACAGGCATCAATCAACCAGTAACAGCTACAGCCAACAGCACTAGCACATCTAGTAAGCCAGTCAGTCACTCAGTCAACCAGCAGCCAGGCTGCTGGCAGGCACACCTCGGCTGTTCGTCAGCCAACACAACCTCGACAGTCAACGTTGTCGCTGGGAACTATACCTCATTGTTGTTGTCTCAACGTCGACGACGAGGTGAGCAGTTGCATAGACAAAAGAGAAAAATGTATGTATATGTTAGTGAAGGAAATGAGTAAAATTGCTGGGGGAAAAGTTCAATGAATTTTTGGTGTCAGTGGCTCTGTGCCGCTGCACTATGAAATATACACGTACGTGTGCACATAAAATCATCTGCATTTTTGTATATAGATACATACATATGTATGTACATTAGTTTGAGCAATTCAAATATATTTCAAGCGCGACAGATGCACATCAGTGGGTGGACGAAAATAGCAAACGGCATAAAGATACGGGGTGCGTTAAGAATATGTAGTACGTTACATATGTAGTACATATGTATGTACATACGTGCGGCACGTAGTAAATATATTTATGTTTAGTTGGGTAGGAACGGCTGTTTCTGCTAAACGTACAGGCATTTTTGATGTTGAAATGAAGTGATTGAAGAGTGTGAGGGAGTTAGAAAATGAATGCGAAGTAATTAAAAAAAATTGTGTAAAGCATAACAAAAATATCTGTAAAGTAAAATAAAGTAAATTTAAATGTCCAAAAAAAAAAAATAATAATAATAATCGGAGTATATTTTCGAACCCCAAATGTGCAACAAAAATAGCTATAATATAAATGAACTAATAGTAAAAAAATATGCACTAAAATAGACTTAATAAAATATCAACCATGTGCCCGCCTCAGATTTTGTAAGCCTAAGACAGAAAATAAATGCAGTTGGCAACGCGGAGAGCAAAGATATGTTACTTCAATATTTTGCTATTGGCAGAGAAATAGGCAGCCAACGGTGCTTTGATTTACAAACGAATTTATATATGTTTATATTCTATATAAATTTGTTGTTAGTACATATTGTGTATGTATGTACATATGTATGTATGTATCTTCAAGCATCAATGTATAAATTTTAGGTGAGGTATATTAAGCACTAGACAAAAAGTCCGTCGTTCTTCAAGTGAGCCATGTGGCCATATACATACATGTGTGGCGTTATTTATAGCTTTTAAAGCAAACGGAAAAACGATAATAAGCAAATATAATAATTAGTGCAATAAAAACGCACAAATTGAAGATGTACAAGCACATATATACATATACATAGATGACTATTGAATATATCTACAATATAAGCATCTGTGCGTTTAGTGGCTGAGAGCCAATCGGCCCGAGTACCTACAAGTCAATGCATGCTATTTACTTAGGTGTTCCAAGCGCTCAAGCGCATATAAATACGCACCAACAACACCCATCTAGCCGTACAATAATCAACAGCACACAACTACAATTACAACACAAGTACGTACACTTAGATATGTACATGTGTATGTACTCATACTGTCACTTAAGGAGTGGCCATTTTTATTGCCTGACAAAAGTGACAAACATGTCAACTCTGCTGAAGCAGCAGCGGCTACAGTAACAGCAGTCAGTCATCAGTCGGTTTGCACAAACAAACCACAAGTTGGAGGAGCGACGATGCGGTTGAGCTACGTATCTGCGTGTGTGTATGTAAAGTTGTTGTTGTTGTTTGCTGTATATTTGCTTGTTTGTGCAAATGTGCGGTCACCCACAGCAAGAGAAGAAACAAAAAAAAAATTACAACAACTCCAAGTCAATGTCGGTATGAAGATGTCAGCGTGTCGCATATGGCAACTAGAAAAACTTTTTTTCAATGCAGTAATATCGCATGCTTCTTGCCGCTATGCTTTACATGCCTCTCAAAAAGAAATGACAGCAAACGACATTGGCTTTTAACGTACCTAAGTGCAAGTAACAAACCAAAGCAGCGGAGACAATATGGAAATTGGTGGTAGCAGCAACGAGCCAAGCCAGTCAGTCAGTCAACAACACAACTTTCGTTACTCCTCCTCGGGCGAAAATCACAATTTTTGGCTTATCAAAAATGTTTCTGACAAGCTTACTTTGTTGCTTCAAATTTTGTTTGTTGCCTTTTTTGTATGTTTGTTTGTTTTATTTCAGCATATAAGTTTTCTTTTTTTTTGGGTCTTTGGTTTTTGATAACAAGAGAAAAGTCACTTATAAAATGACAATCACATGGACGAAGTTAGGGAAATTCAAACGGTTTTTTTTTATTATATTTTTTTGAATTCTGTGTAAAAGTGCTAAAATTTTCGTATGGTTAAGTTTTTACATATTTTAAAACTTTATTGTAATATATTAATAAATTTGTTACGGAAATTTACAACTTTTTACACACTCAAAATGTTCTTTCTTTTTTATTTTTATATATATTTATTGCATTATCACTTTTTATGCTTTAGTCCTTCATTTTATTTTAATTAATTATTTATTAAATATGTGAAAAGATTGTCATGATATTTATTTCGCACTTTAGCAAGTCACGTAAATGTGCATTCCGTTGGCAACACTACCGAAATAAAGGCTTGCACTACGAACAACAACTATCAACCGTTGATGTAAAATTATCGATAAACGCTTTTGACAGTTTGATAATGCCTTAGAATGAAAGCAACGCATAGAAAATAAATTACGTTTAACATATATTTGATTTATAAGATGTTAAAATGTAATAGTATATTTATAAAATAAAATTTAATGTGTTTTCTACCTTTCTGCCAAACTAATATCTGCCTACAGAAAAATGCAACCAGCATGACTGGCATCCACTCTGGCTGTGACCGCGTTTCTTACGAAATAATAATAAGCAACGCTATTGTAGTACAGCCAGAGCCCCTTGGCCGCTTCGTAAATTGTAGCAAAAGATTGTTACCAGTTGACACTTAATTTTCCCGGATGACACAATATTTATGCGTTTGCTGTGTTGCTTTCGCTTTAGTGTTTTATGCTTTGCAAGCAACTGCTATGTGTATTTGTTAATAATTAATTTAGCTTCAGAGCCGGGTTAACCACACTTTTAAAATTACTAAACGATGTTAGAGAAAACCTTATAATCACTTATCAATAATATTAGTTAACTATTTAATCTACTAAAATTCTAACTTTAGCTTGAGACGAAAGCTTTATAATAGTTATTTATTGAATTGAGTCATATATTGGACAAAACTGTTGAAAATTACACCGTTAAAACAAACTCTATTTGCTTAAAAAAAAACTCTATTAACTCTGCCGCTTATAATGATAAGACGACACAATGTCAACTGTTTGTTTGGTGATTGAAGGCACTTAGTGGCACTCGAGCTCTCTAATAGATTATTAAAAAAAAAAACATAAATAATATTTGCCAAAAAATCAGCGAAATGTTCACATTTCGGGACAAAATAGGTTACGCGATAACATTAAATATTTTGATATGTATGTATTTACAAGAAAAATAACTGCTTATCTGATGACATTAATCACCTGTTAAGCACAGCTGCCACTCAACTGCACTCTTATCGTTGGTTATCTTATAATTTTCTCATGTATGAAAAATAAGAAAAGTTATTTTCTGATTATTTGAAAACATGTGCTTAAGAAAAATATATTAAAAATTAGAAAAAAAATATTAATAAAATATAAATTTGTTGCGTAGTGAAAGTAAGCAAGAATGCCGCATCAAAAAATGAAAATTTATTTTTATTGAAAACAAAATACCCAGCGACCAACACCATATTCGTAAATTAACCGTAAAAAGCTCATATCTGCATTGTAATAATTAAATTATTAAAATAACTCAATCACATTTAATGTAAACAAACCAATTATAGTTGTTCCTTTTACAACGCTTCAACTCCCCGGGGAAGAAAATAAAACATATATGTATGTACGAGTATGTATGCTTGTATATTATAAATACGAGTGTATTGTAATAAAAATCCATTATTTGCGTTCATATCCTTTCATTGATATCCACTTCCACTTCCACCGACCGACTAGACCAAGTGACTTTCTATTTCATTTGTCTGTGACAGCGGCAAATGTCACTTTTTTCATTATGACTGCAAATGAACGGGCAAGTTTCTAGGTATTGACATTTACAGGTTGAACGTCTGCTTGGTTGCTTGACTAGTTGTTGATTGTTCGTATTGTTATTGTTTACGCGGACAGACAACTAACTATATTTGTTTATAAATATATGTATGTATGTTGATGTTATGTATTGGCAAATGAGTTGATATCATTTGATTGATTGGCTTTCATTGCCTTGCCTAGCAACCTGCACAGAAAAAGAGGAGACAACAAAAAAAATACACAAAAAAAAGTACCGCTGTCTACACAAGCACGTGCAGGAGACATTTTGCAAATGTAGCGAAGACATTGTGGAAGGGGATCACAGGTCACCGACAAACAACTTACTTGCAAATTTGTAAACAATAATGGCGTATGATGACTCTATGGAAGCGTAGTATATGTTAGCTGATAAGATATGTGTACATAAATACAGCGAGAGTCGAAAAATTAAGAAATAAAACATGAAAATGAAAAGAGATCGAAGAAAAAAATAAAGAAAAATAAAATTATAAAGAAAGGTAAAAAAAAATATAAAAAAATAAAAAAAAAAATTATATAAAAAAAAATATAATAATGGTATTTGATGAAGCGAAGGTTGATTAACCATTTTTTGTGCCACACATACATATCTACATATCTCTGTACGTACATACATAAAAGCATATTCAGGTGCTTGCTGCTATACATTTTGAACGGGTGATTGACCGCGTATACATGGCATAAAACATGTCCTTTCCTTGAATGGCATATGTAAGCAAAGTAAGACAAACAAACAAACAAAAAAAAAAATAAGTAGTAGCTGTTGTAAGAGCAATAGCTTTTAGTGAGAATCAAAAAAATGCATTAAAATGAGCTTGTACCACTACATACATACATACATATGTATATGCAACATAAAAGAAAAATGCTAGCTACTTACTTTTTCTAAGCATGTAAATAAAGCATATGTCAGCAGTCGGGTAGTAGGGCAACCAGCACCAGCAGGATACTACACTGCTATACAATGTACATAAATATGTATGTATGTATGCAGAGGAGAGGAGCACATTAAAAGCTCAGCCAAGTAATTGCGTGCTTACTTGCTTGTTTTTCGAGTGTTTGAGTGCACGCCCCAGTTCAAGTATCACAGATATGCACCACCCACACCGCCTACCCGTCTATCTATACAACACCATTTTGCGCGCGTTAAAGCATCCAAACCCACATTTCTCTGTAAATTTTCTATTTCTATTTTTGTTTTTCCTTTTTTTTTGCATGCCATTTTGCATTTGGTCATTCATACATCAACTGCTGGCTGTGGCGTTTAGTAAATAATAACAACTAAACATTTATAACTGTAGCAAATCAGTGACAGCAGCAGTACCCAACAAAAGTATGGTAGTAAAATGAGAAAGACGAGAAGAAATATGTTGCTACAACATTAATGTCAACAGTTATGTACTAGGTATGTATGTGTAAATGTATGGATAACAACAAAAGAGCTGTCAGCGACATTTAATGTTAGCAGAAATATAAACAAAGCTAACAACAAAAGATTGCAAATGAAAATAAACATAGTATATGTGTTAGTAAGGAAAATTTTGCTGGAAAAAAAATGTTATTACTATTATTATTATTATTATTATTATTATTATTATTTTTGTTGTTGTTCAAATTAATTTCTTGCCTTGTGGGCATAGAAAATTGTATGTATGTATGTCAGAAATTTAAGAAATAAATAAATCTAAGTTAAACTCTATAATGTGGCGCGAAAAAAAGCGCAAATAGCACAGTCAGCACCGCTATTAAGGTATACAAATATGTTAACAAACTGGTTAGTTGACCATACGAAATCACTAATTAGTTTTAATTTACGTGTTTGTATGTATTTCAAAGATGTACGTACGCCAACCGCACTTCGGTGAGCCCGTATACTCATTATACATAAGAACAAACAAAAAAAATTAATTCGTTTTCATTAATACAAAAAACAAATTTTAGGTTATTTAAGTTATAAAATTCATAAGAATCAAACATCAATAAAAATAACTTATTTAGTATTTCACTTATTTAAAATTAGCATTAGACCAGCGATGTAAAAAAAATTCTGCTAAAAAATTTCAATTCATTTGGATCACACTGTATGCAAGCAACAGTTGTGTCAAGGTCAATTGCAATGATAGACAATACCAAATGTCAATTAAATTAGACAAAATATGTGCAAAAACCCATAAAAATATAAAATTTTTACAGATGTATCTATTTAAATGCATATCCACATGGTATAAACGCAGACAGCAGAAATTAAGTGATTTCTGTTTAATAGCATTGCAAGCAAAATTGAAAACATGACCTAGAGAATAATTTCTTTGAGAAAAGTAACAATTTCTTAACTACGCAGCTTTCTTCGTTGCATTAAAAGCATTCAAAGAAAAAGACATTAACAACTGACACACTAAACACTTTTAAATACAATAAGACGAAGAAAGTCTGCGAAATAAAAAAACAAAGAACAAAAAAATTAAAGAAGTCTTCGAATAAAAAGAATTCGCCTAGCGACAAAATTTAAAAGAAAAATGAATTATTTTTACGAACTTTGTGATCGTGTGTGTGCGTATGTACTCTGTAGGAGTATTTACGCTATACGAACACCCCGCACGCCCATTTTTTGTTTGCTAAAATGTGCATAGTGTGTTGTGCTCAGCTGCTGTCAGCTGTTGGCGGCAGCGCTATTTAACGCCATTTGTATGTACCTTCGTATGTACGTGCTACCGGGTAACAGATTAATTTTTGCGATAGTGGCGAAACGTAATAATGACCTATGTATACATACATACATATAAAAATAACTCAGCTATTACACACATATGTACATCAGTGTTTTTTCTATCAAACAATAAATCGCTGCCGACGTTCAGTTCACTGGGCATGCGAAAATTATTTTTTTCACGAACATTTTTAAATTAAACAAAAACAAACGAAAAAAAAAATATTAATAAACAAATATGTGTACAGCATCATTAGTATTCTGCTGGCTGGTGTATGGTGTGTGGGTTGTATTTATAACTCAGGCGACACTGATTTTCCCCACAACAAGAACAAAAACAAAAAAAAAAAAAAAAGAAAGAAAAAAAACACAAAAAAAAAGAAGCGAGAAAATATGAAAATAGACGAGGAAAAGAGATGAAAGTGTATATTTTTAGCGAAAAATGCTATAATTTCCAATTAAAAGCAAATAATAAGGCGAAAAGTGGTATGGTGATTTTTATTTTTAAAATAATGTATTTTATATATTTCCAATTATTTATTTTCGCTCAATTTTCTACTATAAGTGTTCAACTTATTATATTTCTTTTAGCAAAAATAATGATATTCGCCTAAAATGTTTAAAAATTTCTTTCACTCAAATTAAGAATTGTATAGCCGGTACTGACAGGGCTATTCCTTTGCATTTAGCAACACATACACATAGCGACCGGTGAGGCAATGTTTTTATATTCGCACACGCCTGGTTGACTTTATTTTTAATTATTTCAAATAAAATGTGTGCATGCATGCATAAAAACAGTATTTTTGTTTTTTAATAAGAAAATAAAAAATA